CCAGCAGCGTGACAGCAACCGGACCAACATTTAAGTCTCACGGCTGTGAACGACGCCAGCCGCGGCACAGCAGTCCGCGATAGGTGGGAGGTGGTTGTCCGGCGAGAGTTAAGGGCATCATAAGTCAGCTTCGAAAAACAACGTCAGGCGGACTAGATAAATGTTACACGTGATCGACCCTCTGGGAGCGATCTGTTTCACCGCGGGTGCTTTTCTCTCCATTCTGTTTTTCTCCTTTGCATCGCTTCCGCTCATCGCCAGAGAGAACATGCTCAGCACGGGAATTTTGTTTTGTCCAAGGCTGCACAAAAACGTGCACGTGATTTGAGAAGCAGTACTAAATCCATTAATTTTCTGCGGATGCTGGTCAAGCACATGAAATCGCTTCGCACGACTTTTTTCTCAACAAGGTGATGTGTTCCGAAGGTCTGTATTGTTTATTCATTCGTCATGAAATGCGTGACGACTTCGTTTCTGAATGTGCTGCCCGAATTCATCGATGAAGATATATATATGCAGTGTATTTGGTCGCTGAGCACGCTGCTCTCTGAGCTGCTCTTTATGCTAGTAAAACGAATTTACAAGCGAGAGCAGCGGAGAAGATTGCCCTGTCTGTTCACGTATGTAAAGTCCGTCAATTGTGGAGCGCTCATTTAACTTATCATTTGTCATGAAATGGATGCATCGCTCATTTAACGGTTATGAACAGCAATTTAAATTTGCACTTATGATCAATTTGTAACCCGTTTTCGGAGCTGAATATGCGCGTTCGGTTCGAATTATCTAGGCACTAAGACAAGCGATGGATTGTAGGATCTCCCTTCAGTTAAAGCATGTTTAATAATAGATGATACACAACCTTCAGTCATTGAACGTCCCAACTGCAAAAACGGCATTTCTTTTAGCTATGCACGCATATGATCTTTGAGGAATGGATGCCATACAAAATATACCACTGGACGACTGGTACATGTATCTTTCAGTCGCTGTGTACAGACATCTGAAGCCATCTCATGCTCGTTCCCATTGCTTCTTCGTCCCATTGAGTGAAAACTAACGAAACGAAGCGAATGGGCTTTTCCCGAAACTCTCAGCCTATGCAGCGCGTCAGCTCCACTTGGACGAAAAGACACAACTCCGCCGAAATATGTCAGTTTCCAGCGCAGCACGCCGCCCGACTGCAGCTCCCGTGTTTAGCCGAATCTGCTGGCCGCCTGCCACATCGGGCCAATCCAGGCCCGCGAAATCGATTGCCGTAATTTAATCGTCTGCGGCGAAGTCCTCCGACAACCGACGGCGTCGCCCCTCGGCGTCCGCTGTCAACACGGGTGCACAACGGGGCCGGCGGACCGGCGCCGTTCCCGGCTGATTCGCGTGGCGAGCGGCAGTTTATACAGCAGTTCGTGCTGCACGCGCCGACCGGCTCTAAATGGTGGGCGGCTCTTCCCGTTGAGCGTGAAGCACGGTGCGCATCGTTCGGGGTAGACGGGCAGGCTTCGACTTCTGATGAAAGCAGGCTCCATGGTGCACTGTGTGTTTGCCTACATCGCACTCGCATCGCGGAATAGTCGTCAGGAGGCAAGTCAACCGAGACCAGCGCGGTGTCAGGTCAGCTTCGCGTGATCTGGGACTGCATAACTGAGCCATCGTCCTCAGAATAGCGTTCCCTGGCTTCGATCCGCCGCCCCCCCCCCCCGGACTTACCTCAGTCTATTTCCGCGTTTAGCACCAGATACATGATCGGTGATAGACTAACAGCCACGATAAGACTTGGCACACACACAATGCTTGCATTGATATAAAAGTTTCACTTGATTTCCTGATTATACTTTAATGCAAGTGTAAATCTTGGTTGACACTGTGTCACCAACTGCACATATGACCCGTATCTGCCAACGCCAATGTAGACATCCCATACACATGGCAGATGCTTATTTACTTTGCGGTTGACCACAAGAAAGGCGGTATCAGTCAACCGTGGGCCGTGTATGGTGTGAAATCTGGTAATGCATGTGACTCAAAAGACGTGAATTATATTGACCCCCCTCTCCAATACACACACACACACGCGCGCGCGCGCGCACGCACACACACACGCACACGCACACACGCACCCAAATTAATCCCGGACCTGTCTGTGGGCCATGTGCGGTGTCCAGATATTAAAGGAATATGTAGAAATTATGTCCGTTAAAATATGCAAAATGTTTGCATTCTAGCTGGCATAAGCTAAAATTATAGGAGCAAAATATCCGAAGGAAAATCTTCGCATCACATGGAAATAGCTCATCTGTGCACCGTGTATCATTGCAGATTCGACAAGTGGGCGTGCAAAATAAATGAAACATTATATATAGATAGATATATATATATATATTATATATATATATAGATAGATAGATAGATAGATATATATATATATATATATATATATATATATGTGTGTGTGTGTGTGTGTATGTGTATGTATGTATTATCTCCCCTCTCTCTCCTCTCTCTCTTTATCTCCTGTCTCTCTCTCTCCCTCCCTCCCTCCCTCTCTTTTTTCTCTCTTTCTCTTTCCCGTGTCCCGTGCGTGATGAGCTAGTAACCCATCCAAGGCATATGGCGTCCACTTTGCCACGCGAGAGACAATAGGCTTTGTAATCCACCAGTATCACTGCGCTGTTGGCGCGGGTCGCCCTGTCTTTGCGCCGCTCGGGTAGCAGACCGCCAACTAATGGCCGACGACAAGCCCCGAGCTCGTCAGCTCCAAGGCAGATCTGCCCGCTCCTCGACGGCGGAGCGTGTGGGAATGAACGTGCGCGGGCGAACGCAGGGCGAGATTTCCGGCTTTCCCAATGAAGTAATTTATTTGCCGGCACCGGTGAAATGAATACGCAGTTGAGAATAGGCTGCCGTCAGAGCGGCGGCACCCAGGCTGAGGAGTCGCGCGGCTATAATTCGGGCTCGCGCATGCGGGGACTGTGTGCATAATGAGGCATTGACAAATTGATGCCGATTCCTAGGAATGGGTGTCGTTCGCATGAAATAATTGGATGTTTGAACAGCGAAGCAGTTCACATATTTAGACGCATTTGCTGAAATAATGGGATGTTTGCACGATAAAGAAGGTCGTAAATTTGGATACCTCGCTTTATTGTTTACCGAGTGAAGTGAGCCATAACTGGTGCCATTATTGGGTCCAACACAGACGCAGCTTAAATTGTTTGGGAACGTCCGCCGCATTTTGTCATCACATGCGGCTTTTATTCTTGAAATGTTTGCTGAAACCAGCCTAAGCAACACGACATGACAGATAACGAAAATTGACCATGGGCGGCGAATGCAATGAGGCATACTGGCAGCGACCACGCCCTCCACAATTTCAGCAGATTTTGCATTTACTCTAATGAAAGCTATTCACTCCAACAATCCTACCATACCGACTTTCTATATTGTTTCCCCTTTCTTTCAAGAAGGTCGCGTGGTTAGAGATAAAATTTACTCAACTAACCATGTAATTGCGCTTTAATTGCCGCTCACAAACGACTTGTGACTACTAAGTAATGTTCACTCCGTGCACTCTGGTCCGCAGCGGGCAGCTTTAAGGTACCACGCAGGGAGTCGCGTGTTTTTACACAAGGCTATTTGGGCGCGAGGCTTAAGGGCATTGAACCGACTGCAGGTGGCGACTTGCAGTGAGTGAGGCCTCTTGAAAGTTTTAGCATGACCGTTTGGCGCTATCAAACCGCGTACCCCGGGTCAAACATGGCACCATGGTAGCTGGTGACATGCGGTCACGTTCTTCGATTCCAGTAATTACTTGAGCAGCGAGGTGCATTTATCTCCAGACAGGAATCAACCGAGTCTTTCCCCGAAGTTTGCATTTTACACTCGCTAATGAGAGCAGTAGCTGTTAGATGTGTATAAATATGCGAGGTTATAATAAAGTCGTAAGCCGTCCTGTCCGGTTTAAAGCAGTAAAATGTAGGATCAAAAACTTAATTGTCGAATCTGCCAATTCTTATTGTTCCTAAACCTACCACTGACGTGTAAATATAGGACGCACTTGGATAAACTTCAATATAAAGTGGTGTTTAGTGTTTTAGCTGTCTTCTGGCTAAGTAAGTTAGTACGGAGCTTCAACTATGGATGAGTTCGACACGAACTGCGTATTCCTTGGTCCTGATGCTACTGATATCATCACACTTATTATGAATGAACATTTTATCCCGCCTTTCACCTCCGGATTGCGTTATAACAAACTTGATGACGCTCAGTCTGTCCACTTGAAGAACAGTCGTGAGGTAATTTTTTAGATCCCTGGGAGCAAGTTCAGCCGGAATAGAACCCAATAAAATCTTAGTTTGCTGCATGAAATCTAGGTTTGTACGCTTATGATGTTGGTAAAGAGTGAAAGCTATCAAGGCATTACTTTCTTGTGCCAAGGACGTCAAGTTGATCTGCATTGATCTTAAAACACGCCGGGGACAGGTTGAATGTGACGACCTTGGGTGAGATGAGGTTTAGCCCCTTCATACCTGGAAGACACGGGAGGCCGAAGAGGTAAATTCACGGGAAAGGTATGCTACTAGGCAAACTCGCTCTCGTTCAGCGTTTTTTACTCTAAGTTCATAACCTTTCGGGTCATATAGGTCAAACAAGGTCGAACCCGTGATCGGTGTATGGCGTACCGCCAGACCTGCTTGCGTAATCGGATGTAACATGGTCACTATCAAGCAAAAGGCAAGTTAGGGTCGGATTACGCTGATGACCTGATCTAACCTTTATAAGGCCCACAT